CCCTGGGGCCTACAACCACCGACTGAACCGAATGTCAACATTGTCGGTAACCCCAGGGGTACTTGACTGTAGTGGGCAGAGATGTTCTCTTTTCCAGCAAGCTCAGCCCCAGTTACGCCCATTTAAGACGCAGAGTGAGAGGAACACCTTTGTTCAGGGTCCAGATCCCCTTCTCAGACCCTAGCCCAATGCTAGGAAATACACTTCTTTCTCAAATATGTAGGAGGGCTGGCCTGGTAGGTACATTTTCAAACCCTCTCTAGGTGATTCTGATACATCATTGCTCCCCCCCTCCCACATCAAAACCCCTGAGCCAGATCATACAGTTACTCCCAGTGTTACTCAAACTATTGTTCAGAGACAAATAGCATCAGCATTACTTAGACGTGTCTAAGAAATGCATACGCTCATGTCCCATCCTCAAGCAAATAAAACAGCAGTTTGGAGATGAAGCCAGAGGTTTAGAATTTAATAAGATCTCTGGGAAACTCAGATGCATGCTAACATTTGGGAAATGCTGAGAGTATAAATAACCATCTATTCACTAACGGGTTTGTGAAAACAGTGGAGGACCACCTACTGCCCAGATAGCTAAGATCACCTCCTGAATTCCTCTTAGGTAGAGGTAGGTGGACCCAGCAGGTGTGATATCATGCCAGTCACTGGGTCTCAAGGACAAGCAGATAGTTTCCTGGAGTAGCAAGAAAAAGAAAGTATGATATTGAGAGCCAGCTATCTGATTAGGAATGTCAAGGATGGGAAGCAGAAGTACAGTACTAAATGTTTTCTCAAGTTCAGGGGTAAGGTCTGAGGCCAGACCCCAAAATAATCCTGACCAGGATTCCAAGAGCACTCTTAGAGGAGCCTGTGAAGTCTGATGCTCATTTATTCATGTTGGCCAAGTGGCACATGAGCGCGGCAGCCTGGCTAAAGATGGGGGTCAGAGAAAACAAAGGGAGCCTGAAATGGGCATGAAAGTGCATGCGGTGTTTGGGTTTGCCATCTACACTGCCGTAGCCATGAGTCGCCGTCCCTTTCCCCCAAAAAACAGGTGCCAGTGGAGTGTTCTCAAAGGATGCATCTCTCTAGTCAAAAGTACTCAAAAGATATACAAAGATCTTGTAAAAGATATAAAAGCTATGATTTTAATATCTTAGAGTTTAAGATACTGTGAGAAACAAAAATCTCAAACCAAATGTAAGGTTTAGTCTAATTGCGTCCTATTTTTGTGCAGTTCTTTACACATAGGGACATTTATTAGATATTATCTGATTGGGGTTTACAGATTTAAAAACACCTTATAAAATCACAGTTACTTTGAAAATACAATTTTGTAAAAAGTTTTTAGTTGACTAAAAATAGGCAGGACCATAATGAACAGACATGTCTGGGATGGTAGGGTCAGAAGTTTGAACTCCCCCACAGTTGAAAGAACAAGTTAAGGAGGAGGGGAGTTCATTTAAGTCAGAGCGGGAGGGAGGGCTCCTCACTAGAACACCTGCCTCATCGTCATCAGTGGCTGTTGCATCACCAGCTCAGGCTCCTCATGGCCAAAGCAGAATCATAAAATCGCTGTCCCTCAGGCTCCAAAATCCTTGCCATTTTACACAGCTGGCCTTTACATCTCCTGTGGCCTTCAATCAGAAGATCTTCACTTTCCCCACCTAACAAAAGGAAGCTGTGCTTTACACTGGGACTGAAGTCCTCTCTGGTCCCTCAGTCCATTGTCCCTACCACCCATAGATGACTTCTCTTTTACAACTTAAACCCTCTCAACATACTTTTTTTTATGCATATCTCACTGTAACTGTTTCTAAGTTTGCTTCTCCCAATAGACTGAGACCTATTCGAAAGTAAAAGCAAAATTTTATATACTAAGTCCTTGGTATATAGTAGGAGCTTAACAATTATGTGCTAAAAGAATAAGTAGAAGCATAAAATAGAGACTCAGAATGATGAACTTGCCTAGAAATATTGAAGAATGCAGTAAGAAAAGATTTGGAGCAGAGAGGGCATTGTCAGAGCAGATGGTATTATAAATCCTCTCTCCCGTCATCTTTACTACTCAAGTGTAAGATTAGAAGTAAGGTATTTTTGGGAGGCCTGGAAACTGAGTAAAGTCCTAGGGAGAATGACAGGAGAAGATGTACTTATGAAATATGACATCAAGAGGCATTTCGGGTTGGAGGTGGTGGGATCGGTATAGGGTAGGGAGGTCATGCCTTCATTTCAGAATTTTTTTATCCCAAAATGCAGAGATCTAATTAAGAAATTGGGTGTTCAGAACAATTTCTGTCCTCTAGACCAGGGAGAAAGGTAAAAGGTACATCCATTGTCCAGTCTGCTAAACCAGTTGGGAAAAGAAACTACTTCAATAGAACATGGGCTGAAATTCTCCTTGGGGTAAAAAGAATTTGCATTTGCCTGGTACTCTCCATTGTCACTCCCAGGAACTTGTGTGTGACACAGAGGTCAAGACTCAAACGGCTACAGAGACCAGGTATGTGTGATAACTGAGTGAAGCTGGCAGGTGTGACAGATGAGAAGGAGGTAGTGTTAAGTGAGGAAAATGGAAGGTACTTCCTACATCAAGGACCCCTCAAACTGCTACCGTCAATGACTACTTAGCTTCAGACAATTTCTATGCCAGAATATGGTCCTATGATTGCTAGATCTTTGCTATTTTTAGGAGAAACAGAAATCCAGATTCAGTATACAATTTCTCAGTTTTGAAAGGTAGACAATGATCAACTTATTTTAAATTACACCAGGTTTACATTGTGCAGGCTAAACAATACATGTTTGGAAGCTGAATCTGGGTCATGAGTCATTAATTTGTAACTACAGATGATTTGAAAGGAGCAGTAGATACTCAAGGAGCCCTTGGTTATTCAGAGGGTGGAATTTACTCGGTGATCCAGAGCTCCACTTTTAGGTCATTGTTACCTGGCTCTGAACACGGCTTTGATACGCCCATGGTCCTGTCTACTCAAAAATCTATTTTTCCATTGACATCTTCTAGAAGGACAATTTAACCATATAGGAATTTCATTCAGTTAAAGGTTGTTTTTATCAGTCAGTTAATAAAATAAAAGGGAACACTCATTAACATTTGGTGTATTCAGTTGGCGCCTGGGAGGTGAGATACGTTTGCTGAGCTGCCATAAAAGGGTATAAAGATTTGCCCATGGACTGCTTTAGACAAATAAAAATCAATGTCAAGTTCACATTTCATTTAAAAAGAAAAAGAAAAAGATGGGTCTATAAAGTTTCATTTCAGACGTGTGTTACCAGAGAGGCACGAATCACTGGCCTAGGTTTCCACTGAACAAGTTTTCACCTAGAAATAAATTGACAGGAGACATTGCTGGGTGGTACATGTGCCTGATGGTCCAGAGGGTAGATGAAGACAGCAGAGGCACCCAGAGAAAATTAGAGAAATTCTATCAAGTGATGCAGAGGCAGAATTGAAAAACTAGCTTAGCAGATCAGGTACAGGTTTAAATTGATGTCCTCAGCTCAAACAGTTTTTCTAATTCAGTAATGTTTATAAGCCTCAGAAGATTGAGGCTGAAATGGTTTTAGATCAATTTTAACTCATTCTCCATTCATATGATATGAGCAGAGGGAGACAATTTTACTGGTTTACTGGAGAAACAGTCTCAGGGTTTCCGTAGTAGAGAAAGAAGTTGATTTCCACTCAGACAGATATTTCAAGCTCCAAGGGCTGTGTCTGGGCTGAGAAGGATGTGCGTGCTATTCCCAAAGTCCTACCAAACAGGCAGTGTCAATATATTTCGGGGCTGCTCAGGGACTGAAGTACCTGCAGAACTCAGGCCATAAGCAACTATGAAGACCACCTGCTACTGGGTCCCTTGCTTGTGATTTCAGCCTTCCAGAGTGAGGAGTGTAACATCAGCAGAGTTAAAAGTAAATCCTTCAAGGGGAGAAGATTAAGAATCAGTGAGGACCGAGTGGCATTTGTAAATGTGTATGTGAGTGTGTGTGTGTGTGTGTGTGTGTGTGTGTGTGTGTGTGTGTGTGTGTGTGAGAGAGAGAGAGAGAGAGAGAGAGAGAGAATGAGAGAGAGAGAGTTCTCATTAGGAGACGATCTATGATTTGACAGCCTCGCTGCTCCGGCTCCTGCTGCTGCCTCTGCTGCGGCTGAATGGTCTGTCATCACTTGAACAGAGCTGCGAGGGTTCAGGGGAACTGCAGTTCTGGAGACTGAGCACTGCTAAGGGGGCCCCCTGTCAAACAAAGTAGACGAGAATTTCTGCAGGTTTGGGAACTTGGACTTCTTACTGCCTCATCCCTCTGGGGAAGCAAGCAGCGCAACAGAAGAATAAAAGGTAAGAGAAGAGGCTGTTCTTTATAGGGTAGGTAGGGCAGGGGGCCCCCGGGGATATAGGCTCAAAGGCCAGCTTTCCTGTAAGCGAAGGCATCCCACCCTCTGGGAGCTAAGGAGGAAGATGCTGATTTCCCTCCAGGCTTGATCGGTGAGCCTCTTGGCTCCCCCACCACCACCTCCCCCTTCTCGTACCTTTTTCTCATTTTTCCTTTTTCCAAGCATCTGAGATGTTTCTTGGTATTTATTTTTTAGTTAGCAGATATTGTTTAGTCTTTTCCCTCTGAGCACTCTTTCACAACAGGGAGCTTTTTCAGTTTCTTAAGCATTTTTCTCTATGAAGAGGAAACCGGTCCCTCTTCCTGTAAGCTGGTCAAAACAGTTGCTACACTAGATCCTACACTGGAGTTGCAATAAAAGGAGTTTTCAGAAGTACGCATGAGCCCTATCCTTGCAAACAAAGGGGAGGGGAGAGGAGAGGGAGTGAAGGTTTAGCAGGCAGAAACGGTGTCTTTATCTGAAATGGCAAGACTGTGAATGAATATGGACTCTTTACTCCTCCCAGGGCAGAGAAACGCTGTGATAAAAGCAAGACGCTGGCAAGAGGATGTTTTGAGAAGTGTAGTTTCAGAACAACTTCAAACCACTGAAGATGGAAAACGAGACTGTAAGTGAACTGAACCAAACACAGCTTCAGCCACGAGCAGAGGTGGCCCTAGAATACCAAGTAGTCACCATCTTACTTGTGCTCATTATTTGTGGCCTGGGCATCGTGGGCAACATCATGGTAGTCCTGGTCGTCATGAGAACCAAGCACATGAGGACCCCCACAAACTGCTACTTGGTGAGTCTGGCAGTCGCCGATCTCATGGTCCTGGTGGCCGCGGGCCTACCCAACATCACGGACAGTATCTATGGCTTCTGGGTCTACGGCTATGTGGGCTGCCTGTGCATTACGTACCTCCAGTACTTGGGCATTAACGCATCCTCTTGCTCCATCACAGCCTTTACTATTGAGAGGTACATAGCAATCTGTCACCCCATCAAAGCCCAGTTTCTCTGCACATTTTCCAGAGCTAAAAAGATCATCATCTTTGTCTGGGCTTTCACCTCCATTTACTGTATGCTCTGGTTCTTTCTGCTGGATCTCAATATTAGCACCTACAAAAATGCGATCGTGGTGTCCTGTGGCTACAAGATCTCCAGAAATTACTACTCACCTATTTACCTAATGGACTTTGCTGTCTTTTATGTTGTGCCGATGATCCTGGCCACTGTCCTCTATGGATTCATAGCTAGGATCCTCTTCTTAAATCCCATTCCTTCAGATCCTAAAGAAAACTCTAAGACGTGGAAAAACGACTCAACTCATCAGAATAAGAATTTGAATTCGAAGACCTCGAATAGGAGTTTCAACAGCACAGTATCTTCAAGGAAGCAGGTAAGGAAATCTGAACGTCCAGGTCCACAGGGGAAATGCGGGCCAGAGTTCCTTGTGAGATAAAATCAACTTTGCCCTTCTTAGCTGCTGCTTCAACCAAAATGCAATCATGCAAACATTTCACAGAGTAAGCTTCTGCTTTACATATTAAATCCATCTCTAAAGCAACTGAAGACCTAAAAATAGATGGAGAGATGTTGATAGAACATCAGGGAGTACCAGTTCAGGTGTTATTAACATATAAGGAAATATAAGCAGAAGCCCTGGACATCCACCTATGAATGTTTGTGCCTCTCTGGGAAATGTTATAAAAATATTTATACCTTTTCTGGCTTCTGGAGGGAGCAACTGGATATCTTTAAGAATCCTATTGCATGGCAAAGGTTTGACAAGATAGTTTGAAAAAAGGTGAGACAAAGCAATAATAAAACTTTTCTTAGCATTCTATCGTTGCTCATGAATGAGACACATAACTGAGAGGGGTTCCTGAACTTACTTTTTAAAATCTTAGTGAGAAAGATTCTATCACCCTCTTCCCCAGTTCCCTACAAAGCATCTCAGCCTGCAGAAGCCGAAAATGCACTTTGCTCAGGAAATGTTCTAATAAAAAGCTTAACACCAAGCTTGACTTGTTACAAAAAATAATTGAATTTTTAAAAATGTCTATTTTTTTCTGCTAAACACAACTCAAAATCCCTTTATGTTTTCAGATCACCTAAATCCCCATGTGGTTACAACTGAATAGTGGTTTTACGAGTACAACTTTGTTACAGTAGATACAGTTAAAAAGACAATATAGGAACAAAATACTTTTATAGCATATACATATTTATATTTACACGGTTGCTCTTAGTTGTTTATGAATTTAGTTTTTAGTCCCTTTCTTTCTTTGCTAAACAGAATAAACACATGGTAAACGTTTATGCTCATAGCTGAAAAAGAAAACTTGAAATCAATACTATCAGCTATTTCAAATGGGCTGGTTTTGTGTGTGTGTGTGTGTGTGTGTGTGTGTGTGTGTGTGTATGCGTGCGCGTACATGTGTAGGGAATACAGTTCTCCCCATGTGCGCAGAAAGGAACTGAGTATACCTTTTTAAGTATGCATATGGATCATCTATGCTATCACTTTCTAAACTCTAGATTAGCTCATATATGAAGAATTCTAATAGGACATTTGGGTACAAGTGAAATAAGCTACAAGTAAATGTCTGTTTTAGATAGACATGAAATAAAGAACTATAACCGAAAGAAATATTTACAGCATTTTAAATGATACTGTGGTACTTGATTTATACAACAATTGAAGATGCTTAGAGGATAGAAAGGGAAGACCTGAGCAACTATTGCCAGCTCTCAGATTCCTATTGCATTGGGTCTAGCAGTGCTACCTAATACAAGACGTATTTGACTATTATCCAAAACCTGATTAAGGGAAATTTAGAGAGAACTGCTGACCATCTGCCAAGAAAAACATTAACAAATACAATAAGAAAGTAAAGAATATGTACATCTCAGTTAGAGACAAATCATGGGTTAATGTCTGTAACACAGAAGGTCAGTAAGTAAATTTATTCATTAGACTCCAATTGATATTCTTGTTATAAATTCTGAAACATTGTTTGTCTGGTCTAATATCCTTCCTTTCAATTATAGTCATTAGTACCTAACACCATTAATAATGTGCTTTAAATTGTTAATTGTGTTACATGTTCACACTGTTATTTCATGTTAAGATAAGCTGTCTTCATAGAGGCTGTGTGGTAAAAGAAAAAGCCAAAAATTTGTCTCCAAAGAATCCTGAGCTTAAATGCCAAGGTTCTAGCCAAGTTGTACAATCTTGGATAAGCAGGACTCTCTGTGCCTCAGTTTCCTCATTTATAAAATGAGGCTAGTTGGCAATATCCAGGGTTGTAAGAGTTCAGTGAACTATCTAATAAAAGACACCTAGAATGGTGTGGTTACTAACATGAGGTGTTAATTAACCTCCTTCATAAATTTTTGATATGTTGGGAGCTGTTAAGAAAACAGATTTATTCTTAGAAAAACATTTGCCATTTAAACAAAGATTATTTGTTAAACAGGTGTGTATATCATATAGTGATGTCCCTTGGGAAATTTTTAGTAATTAAGGCATTTGGAAATGTATTCAGAGCACCTTGGGTTGTCACAACAACATCACCGTCAGCTAGCGTCAAGAGCCAGGGGTGCCAAATATCCTGAAACATGCAAGACAGTCCTGCACAATGAAGTGCCCGGCTCCCAAAGCCAGTAACACCCTCAGTGAGAAATAGGAGATGGTACATAAATCAGTAGCATTGTATTTAAAGACAAGGTCACCTAATTCAGTCCTGATCATGGATAGGATGGAAATCCAGAGGAAAAGAAAGGAAATTATGAAGCTAGAGCAATCAGAGAAGATATAAGAGAAGAGGTGGCATTTGAGAAGGCTCTAGAAAGATGGAGATAATTTGGAAAGTAAAAGTCAGAAGGGACAGCACTCCACAGGGAAAGGACGTGGCTGGGCTGAGAAGGGTATGGGTTTGAAGACGGGACATGAGCGCATAGGGAGTGATTTTTAATGGGATGGAGTGACTTGTTTGACACAAATGAATGATGTATTTGAGCAGGTAATGAAGAGTAAGATTGGATGATGATGATGTGTGTATGCGTGCGCGCGCGCGCGCGCGTGCACGGCAGGGGTTGCGGGTGGAGAGAGGATTCTTTGGAGAATCTCAAGTATCAGGCAGAGAAAGGAGACTGAACAGTTGTACAGGGGCAGCAAGGAATGAGAGTGGTGAGCAGGAAGCAGCAACGGGGAGAGGGGCGCTCGGGGGCGATGACCCTGACGGCGGTGGACAGGGCTGATTCGGGGGGGGCCAGGCACTGGTGGCAAAAGATCACTCAGAAAGTTGGTTGTAGTGATTCAGGGAGGAGGTTGCATGGTTCTCTATCAGGACAATTTAAAGTAAGATACGAACTGGAGAGACGTTTCAAAGAAAGAAAAGACAAGAGGTGAACGTATTAGGTACAAGAGGAGCAGAGAGGACACCTCAGTGTGGCACCGGGGCTCTGAGTCTGGGACAACGGTGGTGCCCCCGACACATGGGAACGAGTGCCATGAAGTTCTGGCCAAAATCAAGGACCCCTGCTGATCTGGCTTTTTCCTCTTCTGAACAGTTCTTTTCTTATATCTTTGAAAGTTTAAACCTCCACCTGCTATAACCCAAGGACTTTTATTTTAATATTTTCTCTGCATTGTTTTTCTTTCAGGCAAGTTTAATTCATGTTTTAATGAATATTCCATCGAGGCCAGGCCTTTCTAACCAAGCTATTAAAGTCAAATGTACATAGCCTAAAAGAACTACATTTAAAAAGGAAGTTAAAGAGCATTTATATGTAAGGAACAAACATGAGTTTTTTGTTTGTTTTTTATTTATATCCTCTATGCAGAAAATCCAGGCCAGAATCTCCCCCCACCATTAGTCAGAGATTTAATTATATCTTAGGAAACAAAAGAAATAATTGATAAATCCAATAAAGTGAGTTACCCAAACTAATGCATAGACAAAAGAATTATTTGGCTGACAAAATTTTTTGTTTCACAACTTGTTGTTTTCATATTGAGGAGACACAGTTTAAATAATCAGTTTGTCACATTTCAGCCATATCTGCACAATGCGGAAATATTCTCTCAGTTCAGTCAATTCAGGTGTTCAGCATTGTGTAGAAAAAATATCTCTATTATTGACTGTATATTTCAAAGGAATTGATTGGATCTTTGGCATTTTGAAGGCAACAAAAACATGTGCCTCCAAAGGGCTATCACAGGGATGAACACGTTCCATTTGAGTATTTGCTTTCCACAGGACGCAGGGGTCTGCAGAACCCTTTATTGATCACGCGACCAGTTTTATTTTCAGTTGATTCACTCCCCTGTAGTTTTCCTTCCTGTCAGTGTGACTGGGTGGGGGGTCGGGGGGGACACTAACATATTCCAGAAAGAAGCTTCCAGACTTTCTGGCCAAATTTTCATTATGGGTTTTATGTGACTAAACAAGCCTTTAAAATACCAAATGGCCTTTGTTTCCATAAATGTCATAGAAAGCTTCTAACTTACTAGAAGAATGTTGGTAGCCCAAGAAACAAAAGCAGTTCTTTTTTTCAAGCAACACTTGCCTTTTGTTGTTGTTGCCATTGTTACTACAATGACAACATAAAAGCAATCATGTTTTTTATGAAACACACAGAAAACTAGGAATAAGAAAAAAGCATCTTTTATCCCACTTCTTATAATCACAGTGTATTAGCATTTAGAGTTATATTCTTTTTCTAATGTTCTCACATGATCTTTTTTATATAATTAGTATATACACATATTATAAATTGATATTCTCAAGTAGAAGAACACAGACAAAAGCAAAAGGGTAAGACTGAGTTCGTTTCTCTCAACCTCAGTTGCTTATCAATAAAATGGGAATAACAATTACTCGTAGAGTTGCTGCTCAAATTAAATGAGCTGCATCAGACAAGATCCATGATTGCTCTGCTCCCACCTGCCCTGTCGGCTACCCCCGCCCCCACACCTGCCCTCAGCGGTCCGCAGCTCCTAGACAGCCTCCTCTCTCTCTTCGAAGCGATGTCCTGTAGTATGATGTGCTCGTGGCCAGTGAAGAAAGGGCTTTAACGTGCCTTCTTTCTTCTCCCCCTGCCTCCTAACTCCAACTTCCACTGGTATTTACTTTTTAAAGAAGAAACCTGAAACAAGAAAAATACCTTTAAGACATAGGGAGGAAGGCATAATGGCAAGACGTCAGGCAATAGGGCTGATATTTGGAGCATAGAGTCCCTTAAGTTATGTGAGTAGCTTAATTTCCTTACAAGGCAAATTAATGACACAAAACTCTTCAACATTAAGCCTAAATTAGAGGTTTCTCAAATTCACTGGGACTGTTTTTATAGTGTTTTCACAGGCCCATCTTTTATTTGTAATTGTTTTAT